TATATGAAGCCATTTTGAAGACTGTCCTTTAGGAAAGCAAGGCCTGATTTATGTACAGCTTTCACAGCTTCTGTTGGATTGCTCGTTGCACTCATGGGGCTCTGTTAAAAGTGTAAGAGCAAGAGCACTCATTTGCCAAGAGCTTGCTCTTTGCAATGAGAGCTGGGTGATACAGCCAGAGCAGCAGATCCTGCTTAGTGCTGATGGTTCTTCAGTGGAGGGCGCAAAGAACAACTCAAGCTTCTTACTCCTCACTTTCTTCAGAGGCCATGATGATGTTGTCTAGCAAAGCATGTCAGCTTTGTAAATGGGCCTGACATTATATTTATGCCAGGTAACCTTATGGCAAGGTAACTAAGGCAAAACTGTGAAAGTTTCAAGTGGACCTCAGAGTTTTTCCTTTTATCTGTGTTTAAATCTGATATACACATATACTCTCTGTGCAGGTATACATATGTGTGTGTGTGCTGGAACAGTTATTTTTTTCCATAGTAGCTAGTCTGGGGATCTGTTTTGAAATTGTGCTGAAGATAATGTTGATAATACAGAGGTGTTTTCTTTATTGCTGGGCACGGGATCAAGACCTTTTCTGCTCTTCACCCTTCTCCATTAACAGGTAAGCTGGGGGTGCACAAGAGGTTGCCAGGGGACGCATCCAGGACAGCTGACACCAACTGACCAATATCCCACACCATGTGGTGTCACGCTCAGCATATGAAGCTGGGGAAGAGGAAGGAAGTGGGGAGACATTCTGAGTGATGGTGTTTTTCTTCCCAAGTAACCATTATGCATGATGGAGCCCTGCTTTCCTGGGCTGGACACCTGCCTGCCCATGGGAACTGGTGAATGAATGCCTCATTTTGCTTTGCTCATGTGTGGATTTTGTTTTACCTATTAAACTGCCTTTATCTTAACCCACAGATTTTCTTACTTTTGCTCTTCTGATTCTCTTCCCCATCCCATTCCAGTGGGAGTGGGTGAATGTCTGAGTGGGGCTTAGTTCTGGCTGCAATTAAATCATGGCTGTGTGTACATATGTATATATGCATGTATCATTTTTTCTGAAACTCAAGGTGTCTTTGTGTAATACTGTCATGTGCTGGGATGCCTCCAAAGCACCTACTTTAGGTTGTGAATTAGAATGCCTGGCAGGATCCAGAAAGGATGTACTTTTGGATTTCTCCTTTCTAGACCCCTTTCTGGTTACTGGGTTGTTGTGACACATAAACTTAATCTGCAGATGCACCCTGTTCTGGAGAACTGGGTGCCCAGCCCTTGCAAGGTTGTCTGTGTGCACTAGGGAAACCTGCTGAGGCTCAGCTCAGCTAGAGTGAGCCTGTGAGTTCCCAGAATGGTGCTCTCGTGAGGAATGCTTATTTGTGTTTCCAGGGGGAAGCTGGCTCCAGCCTGTTTGTGGATTTTAGCTTACATAACACATGGCTAAAAACAGATAACAGGAAAACAGCATCATAATTCCTATGCTGTAGCTGCTTTTTCTGGCCCCATAAATCTCACATTCTTGACAATGATTCTACTCCAAGAGGAAACTCATTGACTCACAGAACTTTCTTGGGGGATCGTCAATAGCAGTACACTGGTCTGGGGAAGGGCTGGGGCAGGGGCTGTTGGCTTCCTGGGGATGGACACAAGTTGGAAAGCTGCTTTAGTGACATGAGAGCTGTCACCTTCTCTAATGGCTCTGTTGTCGTGAATAACTGAGCTGCCAGGACTCACTCTCAGAGGTGCTGAGCTCAGAGTCTCAGGGGAAGTGCTGGTATATGGGCAGTGTCTGAGCACAAGTACTTCACCTTAAATAGTGTTACTTCCCTTCAAAATGGCTTCATGTAATTAATCTGTTGCATGATAAAACTGCTAGTACTTGGTCAACCAAGGTGCTGGGGCTATTTCTTAACCTGAATAACTGTTTATTACTGGATTTTGAATTATAACATAGTTTGCAAAATCCTGTGCAATTCTTCCACTGTTACCTGCCAGAGAGCAATGACACCAGAAGTCAGATTAGGAGAATGTATTAGTACCTGGGCTCCAAGAATTTTTGAGTGAAGAAGAAAGCTGGTGGCTGGTAAATAATTTCATTTCCTTTCACCTTACAGCAACACACACTGGGTTTTGGGGCTGTGGCCCTTGGGTGCAGAGGGAAACTCCAGCTACCTGACATTGGTAAAGCCAAACCTGTTTTCAGAAGGTTGTTACTGACCACATAGGAATCCATCAGCAATTTGGTAGATGTGGATGTATTAATCGAAAAACCCCTACACAACATACTCATAGGGATTAAAGTACCACTAGATGACTACTTACTGAGTGGCTTTGTGACTTAATTCAGACTGTACACGCAAAACCAGTTAGAGAATCAGAGAGTAAACTGAGTTGGAAGGGACCCACAAGGATCACCAAGTCCAGCTCCTGGCTCTGCACAGCACCATTCCCAGTCACTCCATATGCCTGAAAGCATTGCCCAAATGCTTCTTGAACTCAGACAGGTTTGGTGCTCTGACCACGGCCCTGGGGAGCCTGTTCCAGTGCCCTACCACCCTCTGGGTGAAGAACCTTTTTATAACATCCAACCTAAACCTCCCCTGACACATCCTTAGGCCATTCCCTTGGGTCCTGTCACTGGGCACCACATTGAAGAGATCAGTGTCTGCCTCTCCTCTTCCCCTCACAAGGAAGTTGCAGACTGCAATGAGGTCTTCCCTCACCTCCCTTGACCAGCTGGCGACAAGTTGGGAACAGCTGAAGACATTCAGACTTACTAACTGGGTCAGTTACTACTGTGCTGGTTTTGTAAATCTTGACCTTGAGTTGACAAGCTCACAAGGTTGTTTGTTCCTGAGATACATCTCCTATTGACAGCTGCCTTCCTCCTTATGTTTCACAAGTTTCCTTGACAGAAAACAATACACATTCAGTGCATAGCACACACTTGTAATTACTAATAAAGGGTGCACTTTTGAACATTTTTTCCACGTTCAGCTTGCTTGAAAGCACAACAGGAAATATGTTTGAAGGTGTCCTGGGTTGACTATATGATGCTTTTATCCCCAATCGTCTCATTCTGTTTATGTTGAATAATAAGTTTTGCACCTTTAAGAGTGTTCCAGAGAGTGAAGGAGGGAGAGAAGAAGCGCGTGGTTTGTTTTCAGACACTGCACTCACTCCTCCCCATTCCTGCTCCTGGACTGTGTTGTCTGTGGATGAACAGACAGCGGGACAGAGCACTTCTTTTGCTTTTTTTAGTTAGTGTTAGCTAGCTGAGGCAGAGAAGTTCCCTGGACTGTTTTTTTTTTCCTTTTTCTTTGGACCTCTTGAAACTGCTCTGGACTGAACACCCAGCAGAGCACCAGCAGCTGCACCTGTGGCCCACTGGGCCAGGCCTGGCCTGCGACAATTCCAGCACCCGAGGGACTGATCAGAGACTGAGTGAGCTGAGCTTCAACCCAGGGTTTTCTCAGTTTGTCATCTCTTTCAGAGTAGCAAGGGGTCTCATTGTTTGATATTGTTTTGGTTTTACTGTTTAATAAACAGGTTTTTTCCACCTTTCTCCAAGGAGGTATTTTTTCCTCCTGGACCAGTTGTGGGGAGGGGCCGATTGGATCTGCTTTTCCCACTGGAGCTCCTTTGGGGGATTCTTCCCCAAATTTGCTCTAAACCTGGACAGAAGGCTGGTCTGAAATATTTAGAAAAACCAAAATTCCTCTTGAACGAGATAAACAATAGCAGAGAACATGCATAAAGAATTTTACATCTGCTTTGAAGACCACAGTACACATTTTAGAAGCTTTGCACTAGTGTAACTCAAAACCAGGTATTTTGTCTACACTTCCCTTTGAAAATCTAATTGAATTACTTCTGGACAGAAGTTATTTCAGGCACATACTAGAAGTTGTTTAGATGGGAAATAATGCCCAGTGATGTGTGAGACACCATGAACTTTCATTCCAACATCTAAATTGGTGTGTACCCCTATGCAACAAAAATGTGTCCCCCCTGTACCATAGCCATTCTCTGCCTGGCAGAAATCAATACACATGAGCCATGCTGCACACATCTGAAAAACTGAGCTACCTCAGATGCACCAGACTCACCTGTGCCACTACAGACAACACTGTAAGCAACACTGGCACATATGGTGTTACAGTATCTGCCACTTACAGGCCTCAAAATCAGACCTGCACAAAAACTCTTGACAGAGCTGTCAGACAGCCAGGAAAACTAGGCAAACATAGAAAAACAAAGAGGACGCAGTTCATAGAAGTCAATTAACAGGTATCACAGAGAAACAACGGATGATGGGAGCTCTTGGCCAGGAAAACAAGGAGAACGTGTTGATATGAATAATGTAGATAGGTACTGCAAAATCAATGCACCCACGCCACAGTAACGTATCATCCTGAACAAAAAATATTTCCCCTTTTAGCCATTAAGTTTTCCACTATAAAACTATCATTTTAGAGGAAAAATGGAAATTTTCATCAATGCTGTTGTACATTTTCCCTTCCAGTAGAAATTTTATGACCAATTATAACTTACACATTAAGTGCACACCACAGAACAATCCCAGAAGCCCCTGAGACAAAATAAAATACCTTGATTTGTTTCAAACAAGTCCACTGGTAGGAAGCTACTGTAACATACAATTTCTGAAAGAAGCAAACAACCTTTTCTAACATCATCAGTACTGGACAGCACTAATTCACTCACTCTTTAAATCATTAGTTGGGGACTGACCCTTTGGGCATTGCAGCCCTTCCAGCCTGTGTAGCACCCATCTGCTTTCAGTCACCATTTAAAATACCTGCAGTCAGCTGTGATTTCTAGGGTCAATATATCTAGCTTCAATACATTACTCTTTCTGAAGATCAGCTCTGAGGTAACTTCTTGTGTTTCTTAAGTCTACAGATATTCAAGCTGAACAGGTGAAACAGAGAATAGAGAAGTGGCAATGTAATAGGCTTTGCCAAATTATCCAGCGTAACTTAAAAAGAAACAAAGCAGACAACCGTTTTTATTTTCAGTAATATGCATACATAATTACATACAAAATCAAAATGCAATCAAGTGTGTACAAATTTCAAATTGTTCTTGTACAAAATATTCAAATTAAGTAGTATTAAAACCTGAAGCCACACAGAGAACTAAACTGCTTGCTAGCCACATATTTCCTCTGCTTCATTTATCTTGTCTGCATCACTTGGAAAGATAAAATGAGCTATCAGCATAAATCACAGACACTTTTCACTGTAACAATCATAATGCAACATGTAACAATCATAATGTAACAATCATAATCAGTCTCCCCAAAACAGGAAACTAAGATAAGAGGTAATTAAAATATAAAAGTCAAGGAAAAAACCATTCTTTTGAGTTTACTTAAAGAGATCACTAGTCCTAAATACCTGAGTTTGAAGTGGAGCTGGGAAACACCACTGGTTAAGGTGGCTGAATTTGCTTTTTCTAGAGAAGCTGAAATTAACATGGATCTCAGTCTACAAGACAAGCATTCATGTTAGTATAGCTGACAAACTGCAATACTGTACACTGAACTCTGACAGCCATCCTGGCCAAAAACCTGTGGACAAAGAACAAACCATAATGCTCCACTCTTAAAACTCCTGTGTGTTCTACAGTTAATGACACTCTATGTTAGTGTCATTAAGAAATTAGAATTTTTTGGTAAAAAGTTAAAAGCGGTAAGTAATAAAAGTAACTCTTTGTTACAGTGCTGTGTTATGCTGACAATTCATACAGTAACATAAACACATATACCACAGCTGCCCTTAAGATAACTTGATAAAATAAAGCAACTGAGATATCTGGTGAACAATGGTGTTGCCCCTGAATACTGGTCCAGGTCATACTGCATGACTGCAGCAAATACCTTGAGAAGTCACACACAGGTTCCATAAAAAAATAATTATCTCAGTGTCAAAAGGTGGCACGGCACTGTAAAAAAAAGCCTCACAGGCTGTTGTAACAGAGTGAATTAAGACCTAACTCTCAGAAATAAAGAACATTAATTTTCAACATCATCAGTTTAAATACTTAATTTTCAATTGGGATGGCAAGTCCTAAAAGTGGAGCCATATCAACGGTAAGTGAAAGGATGCTGTGTGAAACCTACAATCACAATATTTTAAAATGTACACTACAAGCTATACAAAATACATCATTTTACTGAATAGCTTCTGTACAACAGGAAGGAGAGACTACGCCTTGCCCCAGAAATCCTTCCTCTTCTGAGCTCGTTCCAGGATCTGAGACGCAAGAGAACTAGACGCTGCCGAGCGAGCAGAAATCTGAGACAGCCTGTCGTCTGTGGGAAAGCAAGGGAAAAAGTAAATAGGAAGATTAAACATACATATTCAAACACAGCTGACATTTTTTGAATATTTTTATGCCCTCTTTCACAATGGATGCTCAAATAGTACCACAATATACTTCAATTCAATTACTTGTCAACTGACATGCTGGAGAAGAGACTCACAAGGAAGCCTCTAGCATGTTAGGTAAATTTAAGAGAGTTACATTAGGTAAGTTTAAGAGAGTTACATGCCCACCTCTTGAGAAACTCCAGAATGAGACCCCTGTGTTCACCTGGGAATCACTCAATTCTCCAAGCCACCTTGTTCTTTACTCTCCTGTGTCAGAAGACCTTAGGAATTGTTCCTCTGCCACTGAAATCTATATAGATTACACTCTGGTAATGACATATTCTTGAAAGCAATCCACTGCTTCGGGCAAAGCAGACAACCTTAGAATAGTATGACTAAAATATCAGAACCCATGCTGCTAAGAAGAGCCCTTCTGTGCCAAATCCAGCTAGTGTGCCAAAAGCTGCTAAAAGGAACGTGTCTTCTGAAGAAAACAGAAGTTTACCACAAAGACAAGAAGAAGCAGGCTTTAGAAATATACTTTTGGAGGGTCTTCCTTTGGAATACAGGGTCCATTTCACACACAGCAAAACTCCTAACACTAATCAGTCTTGATGTTGCTTGCCTGATAAAGCACATTACTATTCTTCAACAGCTTTATTAAAATGTTCCTACAGGTCTGTCAAGATGGCCTCTATGAAAAATGACCTTAATTACATGCATTCTCCTGCAATGGATTAGAAATAACTGTATCACTAGCTACCAGATGTGTCACCAACAAAAAAAAATCCAGGGAAAAATTCCTCAACTCAATCCAAACAGCACCAATATTCTGTCAGTGTTTGAATTAACTTTTCAGCAGAGTTTCTAAATTCTTAAAATACAGTGAACCTAACAGCCTGTAACAGGATCACACACTATGTATAACAACTATATTCCCACATATAAGAAAAACTGCAAACTGCAATTCTGCAAACTGACATGTCATTGGAATAACTCCCAGGTTTGTACCTGAACAAATATGGGCATACAAAGTATCTGGGAGCTGGCACATTTCACCTGTTTCTGCAAGTTCATAAAGTACCATTCAGCTCACAGGGAAAAATAAAAAAGAAACGGCAGCTACAGCATTTAATCTGGGCAGCAATCTGTGTGCAGCAAGCTGCAGAGTACTACAGGATTTTGCATGTTTTATGCAGTTGCACAGAAGCTTGGCTGAGCCATCTGCACCACCCACATATTTTGCAGCCAACTGCAATGAGTAAAACAGAGAATTAGCCTGAACCTTGGTTAAAACCCAAGGAGCAAAGAAGCGCCAAGGGGTACAAAAATAAGCTTTTGGTGGTATAACTATAAATAAACTGCAATCAAATTCAGATATAAACCTGCTCTGCCATAGTCTGAGCTGAACCAAACACAGGTGATTGCAACTAGCTCAGCTCCACACTAGGCTCAACCTCAGACACCACACTAAGAAAAAGTGTATGGCAGATACAGTGCCTTTCGTTGACTCATGCTACTGAAAGAGTTTATTTCTGTCTGCCCACAAAAAGGCCAAGAAGATGCAGCTGTGCAATGGCTGCTCTCATAGATTAACTTTAAAACAAACATTAAAAAAAAGCCCAAACCAGCAATCAGAATAGCAGCATGCCATAAGCACCCCTAACACACTGAGCAGAGGACAGGTGGGACAATTAAAGTCAAGAGGGATCATTTCATGTTGCACATCTGGGGCTAAAGTCTCAGAGGCAAAACCTTTATCCTGAAGTTTGTGGGACCATTAAAGTCGCAACCAAAGTTACTCCAGCTGCAATTTGGGCTGTGTTGCAGTTTCTTTTGGTTGCTATCAACACAAAGGCTTAAAAATGTGTGGGCAGGAAACAATTTAAGGTATGGGACTAACCAACCTACATTAACCATATCGAGAGCCACAATGGTCTGCTAATTTTCAGCCACATTTAATGGTTTATTCATATTCCTTAAACCTTCATATTCCTACTTCAGATTACTAGGTTGAACATGTTCAAATTATTTTGATAAAAATACACTGCAGCTACTCAGGCAAACACATAAACCATGCATTATTTACTGCATTCAGATTCATCTCACATTAATGCAGAAGTTAAAATTTATTTAGGCTACATACACGATTTACAATAATACTCTGGGACAAGAAATACCTTCATCATTACGGTTTCTTTCCCGAAGGGGCAATTGGAAAGTTCTCACTTTTGGATTGCCAAGATTCCCTAGGACAAAAAGTCAAAAGGCACAGATTGGAATAATTTCAAAATTGACCAAATATAATATTTCATTTTAGAACATCTAAAAATGTTGTAACATTATTTCCAAAACAAGAGTCTTATAAATAGCCCACATGAAAATTCTACCAGACTCATTTACCCTAGCATGAGGTAAAATAATCTCACGCCACTGCATTCTTCTCAAGACACCATTCTTTGGTACATGCTACAAGGCACTTAATGCACTGCACTCAAGGTGCAGAACTAGAAACCAGCACAAATTCTAACCTTTCTCAGGAAATTCTCTGCACTTCACCTTCCTGCTTAACCTGACAACTACTTGTTCTGTTCTAGAATAGAAATACTACTTTTTAGCTGATCTCTGTAATCAAAGGACCAAGAATTGTGGGACCTGAAGCAGCTGTGGAAAATCTTACCGGAATGGAGACTAAGGGGACAAGGAGTCTTTACATCCCCAGTACCCTTAAACACTGTTAAAAACTTTTTAAATGCTTCAGTACAAATCTCTCCTCAGCCAAGAAAAGGTTTTTCTCAATATCCAATAAACCTTATAGAGACAGTTTTCCAGTTTCCTTATCCTGCAGAAATAATTTTAAGCAGCTTATCTCTCGGAAATCCACAGCTCTCAAAATAATACTACATGACAGAGGTCCCACTTACACACTGCAGTTAGGGATTGCAGCTGGAAGAGTGTCACACCATCCAGTTGCAGCTTAAATATTAAAATTTAGAGCTGTTTATGCTAAACCAAATTATTCTCATGAGTAGTATTTATTGAAATTAATAAAGCAAAATCAGACAACAAACTGATCACTGTAATACAGTGATATTAATGGAATCTGAAACTAAGGTGGATGTTGTGCCCATTTCCTCAGCAAGACTAACCAACTATATAGTTAAAAAGCTTTTGTTTTTAAACAGCACAATCGTTGTAGATACTGTAAGGCAGCAAGCTCAGCATCTTTTGGCCTAAGCACAGCACAGTAGTCACTTACATCCTGCATCAGTCTAACACAGACTAAATAAACAAAACCCACCATTATGCTGGAATTCTGGATCCTTAAGAGTCCCTTGAATACGATGAGAGAGACTCCAGCAAGGCACAGAGTGGCTTTTTGCTGACTTTGACTGCTCTTGATGGGCTGAAGCAAGAGGAACTTGCTCATCAGCAACCCTGTTAGGAGGCCACTGATCCTGCCTAAGTGGCAGAGGATCCACAGTTCCCAGCCCAGCAGGCGCAGAGTTAAAGAGTGAAGTGGCTTCCATTCTCACATCAGGCTACAAACATAATAGAAAGAAAAAAAAAAAAGAAAGGATCAAAAAAGCACAAAACCACAACATCTCATATACATCTCATACTGTATATGAAGTACAGGCCCTCACATATGCAGCAAATGTTGACTTTACACTTTTATACTTCTCATGCAAGTACTAAAAGAAAAAGTATTCCAAGCTTGTGAGTGTAAAGAAAATCTGTTCCTAATAAAAATATTTAACAAGGACTGAAAGTAACCTAATCAGGTCAAACCAAGAGCTCATTTTCTATAAGTGTGATTTTTAAGATTTTACAACAACATAACCAACTCATGCAATTGTTCTGCTTCTGTTACAGAACTTACTGCAGAGGATGTATGCAGTCAAATGGTAGCTCTCTTTGACAAACAACTACCAAAATTCTGAGGATAACAACTCCTAGATGATTCTATTTTTCTTTTAGTAACTACCAAAATTGCAAGTAAAGTAAAAGCAGCACAAAAGTAAAGGAAAAGTGAAACTATGATGGTACACTAACCTATCTTTTAAATAAGCACCCAACCTCTCCCTCCTGAGTTTCTTCCAACTCAAGCAATCTGCAGTTGTGCCCTATATCAATGGCTACAATAACATTAAGGGGAAATTCTACTAGCAAACTTTTTTGTTTTTCCATAAATGGATCCTGTGCATTTAGCCAAAGAGGCCAAAATGAAACACATCTAATCTCACTCCAGTAGTCTCAACTCATTTGTTTGACACCCCAAAAAAATCTAAGCATTCAGACATGCCGTTTTTAGTCACAGATACTGACAATTTTAAGACAGTAGCTAACAACTAAAGAAAAAGTTTTCTTAAATAAATTATTAATTATTACTTTGAAAGAGCATTCCTAAAATTCATCATGGTAAGTCTGTTTTCTGGCTCACCTGGAAGGACTCTTTTTTTGCAGGGTTTGTTGCTGAGTTTTGCCTTCTCTGAGGTGAAGATGAAGACTTGAACTTAGGAGCAGACGCTAGAACAGTACTTCCTACTGTATTGGAAAATATTAAAAATGCCTTATTACATTAAATAACCTAATAAATTAATTCAATTACATATTTTTATCTTTAGTTCTTGAAATACTGCTTTGCATTTACAAGTGTTTTTACCAACAGCTGGGGTAGTGTGATTATGATGAGTCCTTGGGGCTCCTGCAAGAGCTCTCAGCTTCAGAGTAGGGTGCTTGCTGCCTCTCCTTGAAGATACAGAAGAATCTGACACAGCTGCAGAAGTGTTCAATACTAAGGCATTCTCACTGAAAAAAAGTGAGTAATGATTAAAGGATTAGCTAAGGAAGGACTCAGGAGTCTTGCACTCAAGCTCTGTTTCCAATCCATTCCTACAATGAAGCCCAAGGCGAGACAGTTAAGGCCTTAACACCCCAACAGCCTGTAGCTAAAACATCTGCTTGCCAAGGGGAGTCCTGGATTCCAGCCCTTAAGCCTCAATTTCTGTATTTTGAACAGTCTCAAGCTATAAGTCCAGGCTCCCTTTGTCCTGAAAAACCCTGAGCATACTGCTGCACAATACAGAGGCTCAACAGGAGGGCTGGAAAACTTTGAACCCAGAAAAACTTTGAACATGGTTGTTGCCTTAGAGGTGGGAGTGTGGGTTTGACATTCTTCAGCCCATGTGGTGGAACTGAAGCCAAATATCCCAAATTTCTGTAATGGCTAAAGCCCCTAGGTTATTAGATACACCATAATATGATGTAGATACATATATCATACATTATATATGTATACATAATATACATCAGCACTACCACTTCAGTCCTCTGCCTTTGTGAAACGCACCTCTGCCAGGTGCATTTCACAAAGAGCAGCATATCCACAATGTGGAGAAACCTGACTCTATCAGTACATGACAGACACATCTAGGCAAAGAATTCCTCATTTCCAGCTCTCAAGAAGGTAACATGCAAGCATTAAGCTGATCTGCACGGCTGAGTCCAGTGCACATCCCAGAACACACAAAACAAGATGACAGAAAATGGACAATCAGAGACATCTATGAACTGGACTATCTCTAGAATTAAATAGAAACTTAGAAAGGTTTCTAGATTCTTATATTACATTTAATATCTGTTCAAGTCTAACATCTCAGGTTTTTTTTTGTTTGAATACACGCTATTAGTCCAAATGGAGGCAAGTACAATTTCTTACCTTTGATTAGTGCTGCAACACCATAGATAAAATGCAATGAGAAATACAAAATGTGTAGCTGACATGGCTACAAGGGTCAAAGCTATTCAGAATTTTATGTCTATCAAAGTAAAATATTGTTCTACAAAAAAAAGGTATGCAAAATATGCACAGTAAAAATCCAGAGACTTCTGAAACTAGATACAATTTGGATCTCTCAAATGTCAAATATTATACTATGCACATACTGAGCTCATCTCCCAATATTTGTGTACACCCTGCCACATTTTTCCCACCCATGCTTAGTAACATAACCACCAGTGATTACTGCATATTAGGGTTTTTTTCTCCTAAGTCCTTAATCTTTGTCCATGAAATGTTTTAGAAAAAGAGATGCCTACATACAATATTAGCATGTATCCTGTCCTATCAAATTCTACACTGTCAACTTGAAGCAAATCATGAGCTTTAATTTTCACTAAACCTGGCTGCTGTATAATGGGCCTTCTAAGAGGCCCATACTGTGTATTTCATTGTTTTGGAGAAAAATATTAGAATCATTCATGAGTCTGGAAACTTCTGTCTTGCAAGTTAGAAATCCAGTATTTTTAATCATAGGTCTACTTCCATCAACCAGTCCAGTGTCTTAAACCTTTTCATCCCTTATCATACTGTTCAAAACAGAAGTACTACCATACCAAATTACAATTTCTTTAATACAAAAACTATTTAACCTACAAATGTGTATAATATATACATATATATACACACATATACACACACATATATAGATATATACATGAAAAAACCATTCAGTTTTACCCTTCAGTTTTTGTATCTTCTTTAGCATCCTTATTGTTTTCTGCTAATTGCTGGTCCATGACTGCAGCCTGCTCATCTGACTTTTCTTCCTCTTTCTCTTCTGCTGATTGTTGATCTTCCCTTTTTTCAGTACCTTCTGGTTCATCCCAAGCTAAACGTCTTTTGACTGGAACAGTTAAAGCATCTGACATGTCTTTCTTTGTGCTGTCCTGATGAGCTTGCTCTCTGGAGTCAGGCTGCTGTAGCACTTCAGGGCTTGCTGCAGTCTCTTTTTCAGAAACACTGGGTAAGAAAGAACACAGCATTTTGTACCTCTGATTTGCACAATACACATGTGTCTACACAGAACATATTCATCCAGTTCAGTTCTTTGCAAGAAGAACAGTTCATTACAAACTAGTATGAATGATATGATGAATGGTTAAATCGCCACTGCAGTTTTACTTGATGCTTAAGCACATCCCACTTTCAAACTAGATTTTATGAAGACTTTCCAAAAATGCAGTGTAAATTAGGGCTGTATTTTCAATTTGAAAGCAAATTAGATTATGAGAAGTACTCAAAAAACAACTACTTCCATAGAAGCCTATATTCAGAATTTGCTCAGCTTCAAAGCTGCAGAATAACAGGCAGGAATGACAACGTTACCCAGCAAGATCTAGTGCTCTGATGTTGTTGCTGATTCCTTCTTCTGAACTGGAAGATGAGGACACATCCCAAAGACTGTTATTATCAGACAGGATCTGATTGAAATGGTATCTGGAGAAGTGTGTTCCCTCTACTCGTTGCCTGTAAGCCTTTGCTCTTTCTCGAAGCTCTCTCACCTACACATCAAGGTTTTGTAAGTTTCACAGCTGTTTAAACTTCACTATTAGGCTACTATAAATATTTGCATTAGCTACTGGCAGCTAGGAGAGAAAAGCAGGTTATAATACATAATACAGGGCCAGCCACAGCACAAACATTGCATTGCATGCCACAGTATGTGTAAGAAGAGGAAAGCAAATATAATATATTCAGTAAGCCAGTTTGAGCCATGAAGCCAAAGCAAAATTGGCAATTATTCATTCCATGAGCACAAAAATTTATGCAGTAACTATGAATAGGTTTAGTGCTGGATTCTAGTTTTTCCATCAGCGCTCAGACACAGTACTCCAAACACTGAAAGAGGAATTTGGATGCAACCAACCTCCATATACCACATGGAATTTAGGGTGTTTTGAGATGCCTAAAGAGAAGAATACAGAGTTATTTTTAAATTTCTTATTTTTCCTCTCAATACTCAAGAGTGATATTGTTATTATCACCTTTGCAACTTTACTTCAGTCTAAGAAAGAAGCTAAATACTAAAAATCTGCCAACATAGCTCTATGCTGCCTCCCTGAGATTCAAAAAAAGCTCTCTAACAAATACAGTCTGCACTGGCATTCCACCAGTTTTTTGCCAAGCTTGAGGAAGTTAATTTAGATTTCTAAATACCAACATTCAAAAATACATTCCCCACTAACTTATGATAAATTCAAATCAACAGATCTATGTGTACGTGTAATACTGAGTTTGTATGCTGCAAACACTACCATTGTCTCTAACTGCATAAACATTAGTGAAAAGTTAAGATTAATACAAAAACTCTGCGTGCTATTGTATGCAAGACATAGCATCAATATTATTCCTTCTAGGCTATCAGTAACTGCAAGAATGAGATACAAAACTGTTCAGGCGTCAGTTTTACTCCAAAACAGTAAAAATGATAACCCCTCTCTTCAAACAGTATACAACATGATTTTTACAGTTAAGACCATTTAAACACTTGCTGTCCTGTGTCCTTCACCCAAACACAATTGAAGTGCAGGGAGAAAAAGCAAAACCAAGAAGTTTATGTTTAAATTATTAAAAACAACTTTGTGATATTGTGTGAATTCTGACTTACTAAAAAATGGTCCACAAGAAATAAGTATTTGTCAAAGAGCAGAAAAGTAATACTGACATTTCCTCTACCATATTTTCACAGCTTTTCTTTTTTATTCTTTCTTCATGATAGATTTCACATCATTCCTCCTGCAAGGAACAGAGTTAATGGGCTAAACTCAGCTAATCCCACTAAAAGTAACTGGATGCAGCAGGTGGATATCCAGCTAACATCCCACAATTTGACCCACTAAACTTTTAAGAATAGCCCATTAAAAAGATATGCTTGTCATTTTCAAAGAATTTGAAGTTTGATGTGCAAGTGATTTACTGGATTACTCACTTGAACTAGAAGAACAAAAAATTAATTATGATAGCCAGAACAGAAGGAATGTAAATCCAGAGCAACAGGGTACCGCAGGGGGAGGAAGAATACTAAATCTCCTGTGAATTGTGAAGAAGTACAAAGGACAACCATCTCCTTCAGCAACTCAGCAGGCAGCATTAACGCAGCAGGACACAGGCCCTAGGGAGTCCAACTGCAATTACGAATTGCTCACATTAATTTTTCAAAAGCATAATTAGAAAAGAATTTTTTTTGGTCAGCTGCTGAAAAGCACACTTAATAATAAATTGCAGAGAAGCAGCCTACAAATAATCACTATGGCTAAAGTCACACCAGGATTCCATAATGGCATTCTCCTGTTTGGACTCAGAACTTCAGAAAGCCTGCTTTGGACAGAAAGTCACCCACATGCCAAGCAACTTCTTTCTAGTTTCCTTCAAATCCCTTTTCAGCAAGAAAATCTCTGCAGAAAAGTCTGATGAACTCCAAACATATCTTGACAGTGTGGGAAATCCTTGATTTTTCATACATTCTAATTAAATGCCACATGTAAAGCTGACCATCCATCTTCCACTTGCAGTCTCCTCATTCTTTCCCTCTACTGTACTGCAGTGACTCCTCCCAGCTGACTGTGCACAAACACACCATATCCCAAGGCTCACCCTCTAGTTGCCTACCACTCAATTGCTCCTAAAGCTGAGCACGGCTCCTTATTGGTTTCAATGTTTCATGATGCAATATCAACAAATTAAAGTCTTATATGCCAGAAAAATGACATAATATTCTACAGAAACATTCAGTATACCACTTAGGCTGCATGCAAGAGTTAATAACATTTTGCAATCTTAGTTACAGTACATCTAATGCACATAAAAATTAAAATATTGCTTCTTTTCAGTCCTCTAACATCCTCTTGAGGTTATTTACAAAGAATGGATTGTCTCATGCATGCATACACAAACTCAGATTATTAATCATCTCATACTTTAATATACTTTAAATATTGAGATTTATTTCTCATTATGTATTCTGTATATATTCTGAAATTCTTTCTTTTTGCTAAAAGCAAAATTACTTGCTATATTAAATCTAGCAAGAAAACACAGAACTGAAAGCTACCAGACTACTCCTGCAATTCTCAGAGAACCTTATTTTCAAAGAGAACCTATACTCTCAAAGCCCAGCACCCTAGAACCATTTCCTCCAGTTCTACCTTCCACATCACCGTGGTCCGAAGTGATGAAGAAATTCACATTTCCAAGTATTTGCCACACAGGTGCCCTACAAAGGCTCCCTCTATCAACTCACAAAGGCTCCTCTATCTTCTCTATCAGGCAGACGACTACTACGTCAATTCAGTGAAATCAGAGTTGCAGAGCTAGCTCTAGCAGTGCCTTAGCACACTATTAATGGTTTTGATTTCCTTGGCTAACTCAGGAATCACACTTAATAATGCTAAGAAATGTTGTGGTCTTGAAGCTACTCAGCATTTTCACAGCTCTGTCAAATGACTTCATGTACAGTATAACATGGATTGCAGTTTCTGAATAAACAACAAGAAAATACACAGACTGAAACTTGCAAGAAAATTTTTCTATTTTATATTGTGTATGACAGAATTCAGCGGATTGCATTTAGTGGATTCAGGCATGGTAAGCTACAGAACTGAGCCTGACCATAAAGCAAACCTAGGCTGATACATTTTGGTTTTATTCCCTTGGAACCTCCTATCATTCAGCCCTGTATTTTGAACACTTCTGCTTGTTACAACTGGGCTGAACATCAAGAATGACATTACCTGTCACAAGAGACTCTGTCCTGAATGAACCTGATTGTACAGGAAACAAAATTTCTCCCTCACTTTGGAGGTCACGTTAATAAATTTTTTTAGTCTTATAATCTTTTTTTCTTTTTCCTATGTATTATACTGACTTGTCAGAATCTAATTGTCTTTGCATACTCACCTTTGGGAGCTTGAGTCATTAGCACTACAATCTCAAAGCTGTATCTTATAAATAACACAATTCAAAGTTTTGCATCTAAAAATCAAACTACAAAGCATACTCAGGCTTCAGATTTTCTACTCACCTGGTTGTGAGCTTTACTCTTAATACGAGACCAAACTCCGTCTTTGTAGAAATACTGGGCTGGAGACAAAAATTTTGACCTATATTCAGTGTTCATCTTCCTAAGAAATCAAGAATGAGGAGAAAAAAAGAAGAGTAAAGTTTGATATCCAAAATACTCTTTAAGAACACTTTTAAAGTTACTCAACAAGCATAAATATACTTGCACCTAAATGCCAGTGAGACACAAAAACCACATGCACAAACTCAAGAACTCAAACCAACACAACGAGGAAAGCTGTGAAAAATACTCATTCACAGTTGGTGGTCCTTCAAGTACTTACTCCTACTGGTTTTTCCTTGCAGCACCTCCACCAGAAGCTTTTGTCCTGACAGCCAGAACATAATACACACATCAGCCTCAATCACTTCAACACAAAGTGTGGGACCTTAAGTCACTGATGAAGGCACTTTAAGTAAAAATGTATGGTTTGGCATTAATGTGTCTGAGACATTTCCTTCTATGAACTCCATTTTAAAGGCATATGGGTGGGGTGAGCTGCTGGAAACATCTGACTGCCAGAACACTGGTCAGAATAATTCATCTACGTCCTACTGGCTTTGATCTTCAAAAAGCCTCAGTACTTGAGAAGATGGGTTCATTTTTCCCTTCTGCCACACACATACAAACACAGAAAAATTAACATTATGTAATCTATAGGAGGCAGTAAGCAGTACTTCAAGTCCTTAGGCACTGAACTGTGGATGTATCAGCTTAAATCTAAAGATATTTTTGGATTTAATCATGCTTCAGAACATTACCAACTTAGTTTTTATATATACAGCACAGGGTGGAAAAGCCCTATTTTTCAATCCTTCTTCAGAAATAAGTCATAAAAGTCTGAAGTCAGAGAATAAAATTAATGTAAAAAGAAAAATACGGAGGTCAAAAAACCCTTTATATTCAAAATTTCTCTCAATATGTCCTTCTCTTTAAAACTGACAGAAATCCTTCACTTTTGGTTGCCAAACCAATGGACTAGCACAAAAAACACAATACAGTTGAACCTGGATCCCAGTCATTCTGCTGCAAAAGCAGGCCATGCATTGCAACACAGCTTGCATACAAATAACAATCCTGTCTGCATCTTCAGAACTTGCACATTTTTACAACTATTTGCCCAGCGATTTTTAAGAGAATTTTGTCTTGTGCTACTACACTACAGGGATAAGAGGCAGAAATTTGCCTTTAGATGAAAAGAGCCCCAGCAAATGATCAAGAATTTTTTGCACATTACTCACTGCAAAATTGACTACAATCTACTGCAAAGAGTATGAAAACCAAGTAGTTAAAGGTTTTAGCTATACCATATCCTCTCCCTTTTCCATAAACCAATTTTACTTCATAGAATTTTGGGTGATCATTTTGTAATCAAATCCCAATATCCACCAGCATTCAGGCAGGTAAGTCTCCCCTCCATTAAATCTTCAATTTAATGCCTTAACACTGCCACAAAGAATGAAAGCAATTGCTGGAGCATACATTAAGCACAAACACAGGAAAGATGGAATAATCTATGCATTTTAAAGCCTACTTATTGGCTTTTATTGCTCTTGACATATCTCGGATGTATATGAAATGGAAATACAAGTTCAATTTTTGCAATGTAGGCCATGTGGCAAAAATAAAAAGATACTCTGATAGCACTCAATAGCATACAATTTCACTTCATTTTCATGCTTGCCAGATTACTCTAAACAGGACAGATTTCTTTCATTTACCTTGTGTGTTTGCTTTTGTTACTCAGGCACACAAGGCTTTACAGACCAGAATAAGCAGACATCAAGTACAATCACCACAGCTTTAAGGTGTGGAGTGGGCACAGTAGATAAAGTAGTTTGAAAGGTGACTTCCAAAGCACCAGTTGAAAGTTAAGCAGCAGCACGGCACTGATTCTATTTCACTCATGCTGTATTCATTACTACTACTGTTGTTGCATCACAAGGTTCAGCTGAACAGGAGTGGTTACAAAGCTTTCACTTTGCTGTCCAGAGAAGAGATGGAAATTAACATCAGGTTTAGATGTACCCACAAGCAGCTCAACCTCAGTGCTGCAAGGAGCATCTGGCCCTGCAACTGCAGCATGGTGTGCTTAAAGGTCCACAGTCCATCATCCTAAACACTGGGCCACTGTACACCTACTCACTAGTCTAGGTTTTCCTATTTTATACATACCCACGACTTGTATGTAAAGTGAGGGGCTTTGGACTGATATGTTGCTTATTATTTTGTTTAGGATGTTTCTGTTCTGATTTCCCTTGTTTTGTTGCATCTTCTGCTGGTTTTTGAAACGGTTCTTCCCTCTTACTCTAAGGCAAAGATAATTTTAAAAATACCACATTAGCTAACAATCTGAAAACCCTCATATTTCTTTTGACATCAAGCACTTGCAAACAATTCATTTGTGTGTTAGCTGTTTTGAATATTTAATACAAACAAGAATACCACATTCTTTTTTAAGATAAAAATAAACTAGCAAAATGCCAAAGTTGAGTGCAACATTCTGCTAGCTAGATGATCCATTTTGACCACTTTACAGAATTACTTCAACATGGAACACAGAAATAAAATAATACAATATCTACACATTCTAACCTGAGTTGAAAAGGTAAACTTTAAAATATTTATTTTGTTTTATAAATGTTTAGATTGATTTGCTTGGATTTTACAAAAAAGATTTTTTCCTGATTATTTCATTCTTTCAGAAATGCAATGCATGACTTCCAATTATGCTAGAGATCTTCACAAATACTGTTCAAATTCAATAAAAAAAAAAATTTTTGAAGCCCACCAAAATCCCCCAAAACCTTTTCAAGATACTCATCAGAGACGAGGTATTGATATAAACAACAAATTTTTAGGCATTTTCACAAAAAATCCCTTCTCATGACTCCACTTACTTCATTTATTAGCTATTCTCAAAAAGTGACCTGAAATTCCAGTATTAAAACCAGATAAATGCTTCCTGAAAGCCTCAGGCTTTTCAAGCTTTTTTCATATCTACTAAAAGCGAAAAAGGGACATAAAATTTCTCACCCCCAGATGGGATTTAAAGAACTGGGCAGATCTGAGTTTTAGATGATAAAGCCTCCAAGCCAACAATCCCCTCAGGAGTACCAATGGCTTAGTTTAAGCCAAGGCACTGCATGCTAAGTACACCTTTAGCCCAGCAGTGCTCCTCATGAACACCTTCTCTCACAATGGCCCTTTCCGTTCTGCCAGCAACAGAGATGGGTGGTGAGGAGACTCAGATTAACTGGGAGCATCACACAGCTGCTACAACCCAGGCCAGAAGATTCCTAAAAAACCAGAATGACATCTTTTTGGAACAGGTCATAAGGGAGCTGACTCAGAAAGGCAAAAAAAGGAAGATCTATGCCCAGTGGAAGCAAAGTCAGCTGACATGGAAAGAATACAGAGATACTGCTTGCCACTGTGAGGAGAAAATTCACTATCTCTGATTTATGAAATTCAAAAGTTCCAGACCTCCCGTCTAGCCCTACTGCACACCAAGATACAACACTAGTACCAATCAGAGTATAAATCAGAGATTTAGATTGCAGAAACTATCCTATTAAAAATAAAGTGTCAATTGGGAACAACAAAAAATAGAATCACTTCAAAACTCAGAAACTTAAAACTAAAAAAAATGCTCGACAGAGGACCCACTACAGAGCCCCCAAAGAGCAGAGCTGTACAGAAACCACTACTGAGTCCAGTGTCACTAGCAACACTAAATAATTTCAACCTAAACTCACCCCCATACAGAATAGATCACACTGCAGAACTACTACAAAAGCTTTTCTTTCTGGGAAGTATTTACTTGTTAACACACCAGAAATTCTTTCTCTTCTGAACCATCTCTCTCTTGTGGACTCTTAACAGGAGGAGACCCCTTGGAATTTCTCTCATATGCAGCTTCAGAAGTAATGGCAGGAGGTTTAACTGGAGGTATGGATTTCTTTGTGTTGCAAATCAGCTGCGTGGGAGGAAGAAAACAAAACGAAGAAAAAAGTGTGATTTGTTTACCTTAAGGCTAAATTTTCAAAATCTGTTAACTTATTCACACAAATACACTCACATATGAGAAGAGAGACAATCATCTGTAAAAATATAGCATGTGTAGACTAATGAACTTCTAGGAGAAATTAAAGAGAAATTTAAATACATTTAAAAGTGACCAAGACAGACACAGTTAAACCTGTGATCAAACACTGTTATCACTGAAACTTACTATCAAAGGTTTTGTTTATTTATTTTCTTTTTTGTTCACCTTCAGAGCTGTATGTAGGATCATGACTTTCTAAAGGCATGCCATAAAACTTCCATATGAGTCCTTAGTATATGTCCTGTCCATAAGTAACAAAAAACTGCTCTGAGTTTTAGAGTTGGATGCTTAGAGCTTGAGCAAATTAAAATCCACTCCTTTTCAACTAACATAGTATTATAAATCAAGGTAGAGAATTTGCCTCATATGTGGTCATGGGGTTCCAAATTTCAAGACTGTGCCATATGTGAGAAGCATATATTTTCCAAAGATTTGCTAGGAGAATTTAGGTCTGAATTATAACCTAACTTGGATACCTTTGATATTTTCACAGAATCTCTTCAAGGGAAAGGGATTGTCAGTACTGAGGTATATTCTCAGTCATATCAACAGTGAACAATAACAACTTGTTAATATGTATAACTTTTATCATAAAATTTTCCCTAGGTTCTACTTATCCAAGTATAGTGCCTACAGACTTATTCTCACTGCTTCTTCTTCTTCTGTGTAAGCTGTGGAAAAAAGTCTTTCTTCTAAAAAAAGCACAATGCTCACAAGCATTAATAATGAAATTATCAAGCTGATGGCGCACAGAATCAAATGGAATTCTTTTTTACTTTTTCCATAAGGTGACTTTCTGGAAACTTTCTCTTCCTCAAAAGGTCCTTTGTCTTCTCTATAGTACTATCATGTATTTCAGAGAGTTTTCATTGGATAAGGGGCTGCTGGGAAACATATCCTGCAGTAAATCCACCTGCTTGGCACTCCAACAGAAAAAGACAGGATAGTGATTATCTTAGTTATCAATATTATTGCCTCTGAAACATGTTGCTGAAGAAAGAGAAGACAAATGCAGAAGTGTCAACTTTACACTGTGGAATGACCTAAAGGCTGAGTCTCCTAAGTATCCTAAGTCTCCTAAGATCCCAGTAACAGTTAATTGAAAACACAAAGCAGTCTCACACTCAGTTACTCTTTGTGGTCTCACCAGAAAAAGCAGCATTTTCAACCCTACAAAGCCCAAAAGCTCATGAAATGTATTAAAACGTACATGACTATCTTAAAATCAGAAAATTCCACTTTTAAATATAAGCTGTTCTCATGAAAGAATAAAACACTAGAGAGACACACTTAAGGGCTTAGAAGTGTATGTGCACAGAGATGGAGACTGAGAATAAGAAACTGGGGCAAAACAGGTAAATTAATGCAAACAGAAGAACAGGAAAGAGCAAAACATAAGGCCTAAGGAGAACAAATACTTAGGTCTGACCACAATAAAGAATCACATGGAAACATTTTTTTTTCTCTCTATAGAGAAGTGTAGCATAATTGTAACAACATTAAAGTTTGTCATTCCTCCGCCAAAAGAGCAAAAAAAAGGAAATCTTTTTGAAAGGAAAACTTTGCTGATACATAAAAGAAAGTATTAATTTGCTTTCTGGATTCTGTAACGTTACCTGTTCAGCTGCAAGTATTGGTGACTTTTCATTAGGACTCTTCCAGACAAACTGGCTTTGATATTCAGAATTTCTGGGGATATTTATATCTGCTTTCCTCTGAAGGGCTCTGTGAAACTGACAATGAAAAAAAAAAAAAATACAATGATTGTTCCCTTTCCTGCAATATTTTGAAAATTAAACATCTTTCAATACACACTTTCAAAATAATGGTTTGGGTTTTGGTTTCAAGAACAAAATGAATGAAAATTACATTTTCTCATTATAGGCAACTACCCCAAAAATCTACATATTATTGGCTAAATCCTTGTTAAACTGAAATCAGCAGTGATGACGCATTCTGAAGATGCAAAGGAAGAGCAAATTCTATTGAATTAAGAAACTTACTCTTCTCCCAACAAAGAAGCTACAAGAGTATCAAAATACAAAACCAAGGAAAGAGAGAAACAGTTCGACAAGACAGGCTGAGCATGGTTATGAAATTACCGTTAGTAATTTTTAGACTGGTCAATTAAAAAAAACCCAAACATATTCCCTTACCCCATTACCCATTTTTTCTGATTCCTTTTTTGGAGATGAAAATGCTTCATTTTGATTTGGTGGAGCTTCTGAGGGTGATTTCTTCATGTTGTTCTCTGCAAGGGCAAGAGCTATTTCACCACCAGAATCTACCACATGTGACTGAACTTTTGGGGGGAGTCTGGGTCCTTCTGGTGTTTCAAGTTTTTCCTGATTCCCATTATCATTTTCGTGGTCTGTGTGCAACTCTGCAGCTTCAGTCTCCAGCTGGTTATTCAAATCACAATCTGCTGGCCATTCAAGGGACTTCGAAATCTGTGGATTACGGTAAGGTACCCTTCTCTTGGAAATGAATTTTGGTTCTCTTGTGATTCCTGAGAAAAAGCCATACTAGATTTAACGAAAACATTCACTGAAAACATAATATCACTCTGTAACAACAATAAACTGAAAGTTTATCATGCAACTGATTACTAGAAAGCTTGGAGCAGTGACAGACTATGAATTACGGGCATTGCTGTGAAATTCTGTGTTCTTTCCTATTTGCAAATTACTTTCCTTTACACTAAATAGACAGGAACATGGTGCTCCAGAATCATGTTGGATTAAACCCTATAAAGCAAAAATGTCCACAGGACAACCCTGTGCAAATTGATTCTGGGAGAATCAATTGAACAGCAAGAAAACCAACAGCCAGTGAAAAGAACATGGTTAACCCCGTTGCCAGTAGTCAGTTCTTAATTACAAGGCCAAAATTCAGAACATTTATTGTAAGAATGAATGGATTGTCCTCTAATTACACAGACTGCATAATGCAGTTGCAGTGAACTGCACCAATTTTTTTTTTACTCTGCCTTGTGCCACTACAATAATTACTATTTTTTATTACTCTTTTTCAGAGCACTGCAGTTGTCATCACTCTTCAGCTTACTCCTCTTCCTCAGCTCCCTACAGGTCTTTCAATCCAACTGCTATTTACTTTTCCTCCTGCTTTCTATGCCCACATTTCCCTGTCATGATAGTGTCTACAATCCTTAAATCCTACACTATAGTATCATAAGGTTTTTGCCGTAGCGGCTGACCTTCTCTTTCAGTTAGCTGTACCTGTTAGGTTCATAACAATTTTACTCTATCAAACTTTGCCCCAAGTTATTCTCCCCTTAAAAGTGGGATTTTATTTACTATTTCCATAGATCACAAATAAAGCAATCCCACCCGCGACACACCCTAGATGAGTTAACACTGCACCTGTGTTTCATGTTTGGGTCTTAGTTTATGCTGCGTGTCAAAAACTACTTTTTCTCCCAAGGTTTATATAAATACCACTAATCGAAAAGAAAGTTTCAGTGTAGCCATAAAGAATACGGAGTTCAAAAACACACTCTACCTAAATGATGACTAAGACTATACTTTTAATTTAATTACGAAGTGCACAAACTGTAAACAGCACCAGTTCCCTGTGGCCATGCACTCATCACAGCGAAGCTTTCCAGGCCTTGGCTGCAACCAAGGGGGCAGCTTCCAGGGACACTTACCAAACTGATCCGACCGAAGTCCTGCCCACAAGGATTTCTGCTGTTGGGACGGGCTACAAAACTCGGGGCTTCTCCATTTGAAGTTTCTCTTGTATTCACTCAGTCCCTACAGCAAATACAGAGGAGTCTGTCAAGCCACCGGTGCACATCCCGCTCCACTGCTCCCGCCGGTAACAGCTCTCCGAAGGGAGGAACATCACCAACACGCTGCTGCAGGATGAGCTAAGCTGGCAGGCTGCTCTGCATCTTCCAAACCCACCCCCGGCGGAGAACAAAAAGTGTTGCTGAGAAAACGTGGAAGCATTTCATGCACCAAAAAAATCATTTAAAATTTTAAAAAAACAAAACAAAAAGCATCTATCTTATGTCTTCAAGTAAATGGTTTCAAGAACAAACAGCCTGGACCCGCTATCACCCGACAGAAGGACAGAACCCCTTCTGTCTTTACCAGCCGGTGCCGCAGCGCAGGGCCCTTCCCTTCCCCGCTACTCCGGACCGGCCGCAGCCCCGCTCCTGCCGCCCCCTGCGCCCGAGGCCGTGCCCGCCCCTCCGGGCCCCGCTCCCGTTCGGCTCACCCTGAACCGCACGGGCATGGTGCAGCCGCGGTCCCCGCACTGCCGGGGCCGAGCCCCGCTGCTGGCCCGGCCCGAGCCCCGCTGCTGGCCCGGCTCGGTCCGCCTCCCCTCGGCCCGTCGGGCGCCTGCGCGGCGGCCGCCCAGGGCGGGCGGGGAGAGCCCGGCCGCGCCGCTTCCCCACCGGCCCGGGCCTGGGGGCCGTGTTGGCAGCCGGAGCGGTGCTGCCGGGGGCTGTTGGCGCCGCGTTGTCCACGTTAAAAGACTGGCCCCGGTAACGGTGCTGTGCGGCCGGGCTGTGTGTCTGGGAAAGCACAACGGGGAGGCACGCGGTGTTAATGCATCGCAAGGCCTGCGGGATCTTGGGCGCCTGCTTACAAAAAAATCACGTGTCCACGCATGCAGCTTTACGGTGCTATAAAAACAGCGTTTCGAGAAAGGAAAAAAACAAGTTTCTTACCCTTCTGGAGCCTCTGCGATGGCGTGTCAGCTGCCGGTCCGCCTTCGCCACCTCACCCGACCTCGCCACCCGGTCAGGAGATCTTAATCCACCTTCTTGTTCAGATCGTCCCTCGGGGGTCGCTTTTCTGACTGCCCTCCCCCTGTTAATCTCCATCCTGACTGGTTTTGGGTGTATCACATTAAAAAGATCGGGGAGGGCGGTAAAAGAAAAGCGCAGAGGCGGACGTGCCGCCCGAGAACGGCCCGGGCGATGTGTTTACACTCCCTGTTGCCCTGGCTGCCGACCCTCCCCGGGTTCCCTGTTCTGGGAAAAGAACTGCTCTGTTCTGTTCTTGAGCGAGGGCTTTGTGCCCCCTGCCTCTCCCAGGCACAGGGGTAATGTCAGTGCCAGATGCACTCAGCTCAAGCAGACTTTAGGTCCGCTGGGACCCTGTGTAACCAGCGAGCAACAATTTGTTACTGTCGATGTGAGGCAGGGGAGAGCACCGATCTGTAATGAAACGCTTGCGAGCAAAGTAAAATGTTCTTCTGCGATGTGAACAGCAGCGGGGGAGAAGAAGAAAGGTGCTGCATTGATAGTGTTTTCAAGTTTCACACATCTTTATTCATGAATTTCGGATCAAGACAACAGTTTTGGTATAATTTACTTGCTGATTACGCTTGAAACCGCTAGGTCCACCATAGAAAGTTGTTTGGTTTGTTATTACAGTGATTTATTTTGTGATTTTCAATCAGGTCTAGTTCAGTACATTTTCTAAAGTAGTGTGCAAACTTGCTATAGAATGTGAAAAGCCAGCTGGCAGAAATACAATGTTCAAAATACATATTCCAGGTTTGCCAGAAATCTTTCCTCTTTGATATGTATGGAAACCAGGCCAAACATAATTTCCATATGTTTTTAGGGTGTTTTTCAATTACCAAACTACAACAATGCTTTTATAGATGGTTTGGGGCTGTCTGAATTTAGAGATGGATTTGATTCTTTAGTGCAGAAACATAGTAGGACACCATGCTATCCTGATATGCAGATTTTTTGTATTTCTTCATGTCTCTTTTTATTTTTTTAAGATAAAACACAATAAATTATCCTGAAACAATGGAATTCACATCGCTCTTTATGCACTGATTGAAATTGCATTTTAGATCTTCTCCTTATAGCTATGAGATAGGAATAGCTTATGTGGTGGAAGCACTTCAATAAATATGTCAACCATTGAGCTACTAGTGTCTTTACCTCATGTTTTTTATCACTGCTGATGTATACCAGCCACTTCAGGTTCAATGCATACACATTACAGAACATATTCAAGGCAATATGATGTAAGAATGCTAAGATGCTTGGCCAGTAACAGTATTTCCATGTGAAAGTTGAATAAATAAATGAATAATGAAAACATGGGTCTGTGTGTAGAAAAAGTTGCACTGCATTCACAAACTCACAGTCTGGAAAAGCAGGAAAGGATTGTTTCCAGTTTTCTGGAACATAAACTTGCAGGGACTGATTAAGTGTGTATCCCTCAGTAACTGGGCTGTATAATTTATTGGATCCTGTTGTTTAAAGAAATAAGCATTTAAAGCTTGTGCTACATTACACATCTAAGTAGTTTTGAGTTCAAGTCACTTCACATTTCTGTAACCCTTGAGAAGTTGACCATCTTCCTCCTTTATTTCCTATAGAGCAAATTTAAGCATTTTAATTTGCCTTGCTGATTCTTACTCCACATTTAAATTATCTTGTTTTTGTTCTTCAAATTAATCAAAAGAGGCAATTTCTTTTGGTAAACCATAAGAAAATTCTTTTGATTTTCTTTATGCGTATAATTTCAAATGAGTAATTTGTGACCCATATTTGTTTTCCCATCAGCTTCACTACATTTTGCTATACGTCCAGACCTAATCTTTGACCTTTTATATCTCTTGACACCCATACTCTTGAGTCTTATCTTCAAGACTTTCCCTTCTGCCTGTGAACAGCTAGTTGTTACATCTAACTAAATAGGGACCTTCCCATGACCCGTTTCTCTCGCTGCTTGTAAGCTCACATACCGAAGGCATCCTTCTCTTAGGGAGCTGGTAACCTGAAGTGTCTCCCTTTTGTTTTAACACTGGTGGTGTCTCTTGCCAAAACTCAGAGCATGATTTATCAGCAGCCCTCCCTGCAGCCAAAGAAGGCTAGATGCAGCTTGCTGTGAAGCCTCACAGCTCCACTCCATGTGTCAGCCTCAAGGGAATCAAACAGGAGCAATGAAACGTGTTTTCTACCTCCAGAATCTGTAGCTTCTGGCACTCACTGGTATAGGAGTAAAGGAGGAGTGGTAGCACAGCTGGCCTGGCTCAGATCCCATGGTTTTACTCTTAAGAGCAAATGTTTCTTGTGCAAACTTGTCCCAGCTTATTTTACAACCCATTTAGAAACTGCAGTGTTAAAACTACTTTCATTTTAGAACTCATTTCAATCCCTTTTTCAAGTGACAGAGCTGATCCAGCAGTCATTAAAAGGGCAGTGTTTTGTTGCTTACAGGAGTCTAGATTTGAAGATATCCTGGCTTCATGTCCCTGAGCTTGGCAAAAGCATTAACTCTCATCATCTTAAAGTAGTCTGTCTCTCTAGTACAATTTCATTCTGAACAGCAAAAAAGCTTATATAGCTCTTCTTTATAGCTGTAAAAGAGGTCATAAACATGAAATATGGATAGACAGATCCAATTCTCAACCTATCATCTACTTACTTGTGCATTGTATGTTCTTAGGGCAAGACACTATCAAAAGTGATGGCTGCCTTTGAGAAGTTCATCTTTAACCCCCAGGGCCAGACACATATAGCAGGGCTTTCCATAACCAAGGGCTGACAAACTCCATGGAAACCCAGGGTGATCTTGGATCTAAAATGTCTTAGATCAGACCATTTTGGAAATCAGCATCCATAGCCCTTGATTCCTCCCTCTTTAAAGTGAGAATAATGAGATTTCTAGCCATGGTTTGATATCTGCTAATCACGAGGGTTGGGTTTTTTGTTTTTAATAAAAGCACAAGGTAGTTTTTAAAAAGTGTAGAATTCCAGTTCGAAACCAGACCAGAGTATCTCAAATGTGTGTAGATGATGCAAGGGCAACCATGGCCAACTTCATTTTTTACATTAGAAGATAAAAGAAAGTAGGAGAGCATGTGTCATTTTGATCTAATGTTTGCCTGAAGAGCACAGAGAAGCCACAGCTGCTCATCCTTCAGTGAAGGAGCTTGCACCCACTTTGTAGGTATAAACAACAGTGATGTCTGTTTCTGTAGGGAGCACAGGGCTTTGCTTTGTGATATGTGTGCAGCTCTGTGCACTCAGTCATTGCCAGTTGACGTGACTGTTCATACGGTAAAAATAATCTCCTTTCTGTTTTTAAAGGTGCATAAGACTTGTGCACTGCAGTAGCAAAATTGTGCAATTCTGGCATAAATAATCTGTTCTGACAGCCCCTAAGGGAGTAACTCCTGAACACAGGATGTGTGAGTATTATCCCGGGATGATCTGATGCATTGGTAAGTGCACGGTAACAATGGAAACATGAGATGGGCCACAAGTACAGTACCATGGCTTTGGTGGGCAAGCTTTACTGGGTTGGCAAGGTAATGCAACTCAATCTCAAAAGGGAAGGCAGAGAAGCTAATAGTCACTGTAGACAGACAGAATTCCCCATGTTGTATTAAGAAAACATTTGGTAAGAGACATCCTGAAGTTGAAGCGAAATCTTTGGCATTTTTCATTTCTTACTTTGCTCTGCATGCCATTGTAACAATAATCTTTTATAGCACTATTGGTGCTATATGCATGCATCAGTAAGAAATCACACTTCCATGATGCTGACTCATAGCCATTTAGAATGGAAGACTCATTAAGTAAATTAGCCACACTGTCCAAAGGAGATTGTTCTTTATGTTCTTTTGGAATCAGGATGTGAGCAGCTATCCCTCTTCCCTGCTGCTCTTGGCAGCATCCTTCAGGAGGTGGACAGACAGCCCAGAAGGACAGAATGAAAATCTTGTTCTCCTGCCTTTGTCTGCCCACACACAGATGGTGGTGTACGCATTTCTTACCTGTGTTTAGGTATTGCAAGAAATCTGTTTGACTGTGTACCTGGTTCTGACACATGGTTGTGGCTGTTCACAAGGACAAGAGCTTCTGAACATTCTGTATAAGCCTTTAGTTACTGCAGATCATCTTTACATCAGTGTATTGTGTTAGGCAATACACAGGAATATTTTAGGGCACTGAATCACAGTGCTGCAGCCTTATGGCATAAAGTGCTCTAGGCACAGGATTTGAATGTGCTTTAAAAGTGTTCCAGCTTTTATTGATTTTGAGTGTATTCTATCCATACCACACCAGTTCCCCCCAGACAATATAAAGCCAGTATAAATAACAAACTCGGCACTCTGGATAGTTCACCAGAAGTGCCATCATGTGCTCCTGCCTGGTAGGTGATCCAGTGCCACACAAATCAAATGATAATGATCTTGTCAGCATGTCCTTACTAAAGCTGAAATTTCTTAATTGTCTGAGTTTCATTTCTGTCTGACATACATATGAGCACAAAGAAATCTAATATTTACCACCGCAGCTGTTTTCAACCTCCTTCCCCATCTGCAGCCCCCCAGGGACACCATTCAAATAATGTCTTGTGTAAACAGCAGTTGGCAAAAATCCTGAAGGCCCTTCTACAGCAGATATGACACACTGTGACACAGATGCTGTGTCACTGTGACACACGTATCTTGAGTTTCTTCAAAAAATTATTTCCTCCAAGTAAACTGAGCAAGCTGAGGGTGTTCCTGAAGGGCCTCACCCATTTCTGGCTGAAGACAGCATCAGTCTTTGTGTTGGCTGCAGGGGACGCAGGTGTGGAGCTACAGGCTGAACCTGGCCTTACCCCTGGTGGTCCCAGGGAGAGCCCAGTGCTCTGTGTTTCTCTCTGGGGTCTTGTTAATGAGATTTTCCAAATGCAAGGCTTGTGCAGTTGATTTGTGAATCCACACATTCCCAGCTAAAGGAACTCTGCATCATTCCCTAGCCCTGGCAGCCAGGCCTCCCAGTGGTGAGATCTCAGGATCTTTAGAAAATGGGTATGGTGTTTACAGCTGGCCTGCACAAATAAGATGTTTCTAGTATTTTCTTTCAATCTGTGTCAAAATCTAGAGTTTCCAATACCACTTGAAAAGGAAAATGCCACCCAACCAGCAACCTGGTCCTTATCGCAGCGGCTTAGTCTCTGTACCCAAAATTTAAGTTTCAATCAATTTAGTCTTGGATGACTTTTCAACTTCAGATAAACCAGAGCTTTGTCTACTTAATAGCTTTCAGAAAATATCTGCAATTAAATGTGATACTTTGAATTCATTTCAAAATACCTGACTTGGTATGGCACACTTCCAAAGATAATTTCATTAGGGTTTTTCTCTCTGTGACAGTACCAGGGAAGAAAATGCTGAAACTTTCTTCTCCTAAGTGGCTTCCACTGAAATCAATGGACCAAACTCAG